AGACGGAGAGCCGCAGAAAGTAGTAAAGCTGAGTAGGAGGGAAAGCTGCCGACAGAAGGTCACGCATGGCTTGGAACGATGCACCTGTATTGGATCCCAGCTGATAGAGAATAGAGTAATGGGCCTGAATGTCATCCAGCATGTCGGGACGTAGTTGCCGTTGAAGATCCGGATGTAGTCGTCGTCGAAAGCGTTTGTGCAAGCCGAGGGAAGTGGGAGACGACAACGAGTGACGTCGAAAATCAACGAGGTGTTCCCGGAAGCCCACCTTTCGCAGAAGTCTGTGTACCCAGGGTGCATTCAAATGCGGGCGTAGCAGGTATTGCCATTTGCTTTCCTGGACCCAAACCGAGGAAACGGGAAGTTTGATCTCAACCGGAACAGCACAGAAGAGCCAGTAAGTATTGGATCGCTTCCAGTAGTGAAGCGCGGGTTCGAAGAAGGCATGACGTCCCCGAAGTAGTTGTAGAAATTTGCGACTGCGTGAGTGTTCACGTCGTAGAACATCCTGATCAGTCGCACCAACGTAGTAAGGTGTGCGCCATGGAGAAAGTCGGATGTAGACGCACGGTTGTTGATGATGACCTGGATCGTGAATGAAGTCATAGAGGTCCGGAAATCGTGCCCGCAATGAGCGAAGATGTCGCGTGTCGGCAAAAGTGGAGTGCATAATTTCACACAAGAGAGAAGCCTTGTAGAAGTGAAGGACTTCAAAGAACGGCGGAAAGTAGCCATGATCTTGGGAAATGAGACGTTGTAAGAAACTGATCAATAAATAGGCAGTGCACCGACATCTATGAATCTCATACCTGTTGGCCACAGTGTGTTGAGAGTGTGACATAGCGTGATTCGGAATCTGAAGGGCAATCCGGACCACAACTAAGACTTCCAGAATGAGGCCCAACCACGGTAGTTGTGTGATTGATTCGTACTCATCAGCTGGTATCGACGGTGGTGGTAGTCCAGGGAAGCAGTATTGCCAGCACGTAGAGAACATGGTCAACGAGTGTAAAAAGTTGCCCAGAGACTGCCATTGTGCAACATCATCATAGATTCCACAGCGGCGAAGCTCATCCAACATGGTGAAAATGCAACCAATGAAATCTACCATAAGGCGGCGACATGGATACAAGCTGCACAGACAATCACGCACAAGGCAATGCAAGCACAACCAAGCACAAGATCAAACTGATGCAACGCAAAAAGATGACGGACGAGTTTTAACCTTGACTCATCCGTGACACGGTTGCCGCTCCGGGCTCATAAGAGAACGAAGGTCGTTAAGATGCCTGCTCATCCGCTGAGTAAGCGAGCGGTCACGATGAGGTGACTCAATGCCTTCTCAGTGAGCTTGGTGAGATAGCCGGGCTCCAGTCCCCACGAAGCCGCCATCGCCCCGAGAGTAGGTGCGTCGCCTTTCGGCATGCGTTGACGCGCTTGAAGGAGCTGCGTCGCCATGGAATCTAATGACTTGTTGCCGTTGAGCCGGGACGGGTGATTGGCCCACTTGACCAGTGACGTCAAAGTTGTGGTTGTGGGCGATTGCTTGAGATAAAGGCGTGGCTGGTCACTGGTCCATGTGTAGTACTTGACAACTTCTTCCGGCGTGCTGTGCATGGTGAGCAATTGTGACGCCGCCGGCTTGGACGGCGGTGAAGACACTCCGTGAAGAGACTGAATGATCCGGGGTTGCACCGCGCTATCAAACGACTTGCCATCAAGGGCCGCTGCGCTGACTGTAGGGAGGGAGCTGGCAGGTGACGAGGATTGTGTGTGGTTGACCGGTGGCGGTGTAACCAACTCTGCATCATCTTTCTGGCTTGCCATCGTGGGAGAGGTCGAAGCGCGCAGCGATGCTGAATACTGAGCCTGGAGCAGCTCATGCGCACGATTTAGATCATTGTACTTCTTGACCATGTCATCTGTCTGGGTGGAAGGTGTGAGAGAAGCGTGGTGTTGCTGAAGAAATTGAAGTACCAAGCTGGCCAAATGGTCATGAACCTTGATCCGCTGATTGAAGTCATCGATGTTGAGACCCAGCGAGTTGGCAAGGTCCTTTTCCAGGGTGAGCAGGTTGATCGACTGTGATCGTCGTAGTAGTTTGGAACAGGTACTCCAAAGTAAGGCCTCGGTGCGAGTGCGAAAGCCTTCCCATGTCACGAATCTGCCGTGAGCGAACGGTCGGAGCAGCCAGTTGGTGAGGCCCCCATGAATAACCTGAACCAGGCGAACGTCACGAATATCCATGCCTGACATGTCGCGCAGGTTGCCATGCGGAGTGTTGGCAACGGTCATGGGCAGGCTGAAGTTGTAGAGCTGATTGACATCAAACATGCCCTCTCCAGGTGTCCAGTCAGGCGATGGTGTAAGCCAGGCTTTCTGAGGACGAACCGGTAGAGCCGCAGGAGGTCCAGGTGGCGGTGTAGGTTGCGGGGTAGTGACCGGTGGTGGCATCACGGGTGGCATGAACTTCGTTGGCGTGGGGTCTGGAGGGATCGGCATCATGTAGTTGATTGCTGGATGTTGGAATTGCTGTGTGGGACTATGAGTCGATTGAAAATTGGTGGGCATCATCGGGAAATTGTTGGCAGAGTTGTAGCCGGAATTGTGTTGCCAAGATACCAGGTTGTTCCAATCCATGCCTTCCGAGACGTGGTGGTCATTGTGTTCACGTCGGTGTGCTTTACGAGCCTGAGGAGAAGTACTCCGATCACGTCTGCGCCGAGTCCTGGATCTATCACGATCATCACGTCGAGACATGGTTACACAATCGACTCTCAATCTTCACGCTTCCATCTTGAGAGACACGTATCAGACAACAAGCAAATCCATGCAACGGCAAGGTATCAACGAATCCAACAAATGGCAAGCAAACGCAAACATCAGTGGTGAGACGTCTCTATGATCTGACCGCTGTCTTCCCTTTAGTGAAACCTCGTTCCTGGTTAAATGTGAAATTCCGCTGTTCTATGATAAGCACGTTGAGGTCAAATTTTCCGACAGAGCCGGCCCGGGGTCACACAATGGGTACACCCGAGGATTCCCCACGAATGGGGTGTACACACTTAAACTCCAAATGGAGAGTGCTAATCTTTCGAGTACAACTGATGAGTCTCGAGTACAACTGATAAGTCTCGAGTATGATGAGGTTCGACTCGCATAACGCTTGGCTTCCCTGTAGTTACTTTAACAGGGACACACAGAAGCAACGGCAGTTCAGGGGGGGACCAAAAGGACATTCAGAACAACACAACCATCTCGGCAGGTACGTCTGACTGATCAGGTCAGATATCAGCGCAGGTCACGACCCTCTTCGTTGGGTCACCGGTCGTGACTGCGGCTGAGAAACCGAAAGGGTGGTGACAGGGCATTCTGTCACTCCGCACACACACACACAGCTTATACTATACCGAGGTTGAACACCAAGATCAGGCTCCAGCAATTGTTGGAGGGAATCACATGCGAGCTCACACGAAGCATTCGTATGTGTGCGCCGAGGGATTGCTGCATCCTTCATTTGGTCCTCATACTCGTCGACCTTTTGACTACGCCGCCTGCGCCTGACCGCAGGCGCATGGATTTTCGCGCGGACTGTGGCTGCACCCATCTTCGTAACAGCCGGAGCCGGAGCCAAAGAGACGGAGTGCTCAATGCACGCTGGCCATTTCGAGATTTCATATTTTTTCCTACCAATGGAGCTTGACACGCCAAGAGCTGTTAGTCACTTAGTCCTGCGTCAGACTGAATTTGCTCCGTCTGTGAGCACCGCCAAAACATTATTGGATGGTCCAAGTAGGATCTATGAATTTGGTGTGCATGCCCGGATTCAGAGCAACAAAGGGGGGCTATCAGTGTTGGTGATCAGAGATGCGCAGATCTGTGTTGGAGGCCACCGGCCTCATCCTGGCTGATGGAGTGGCGGGACTTGGGCCTTGGTCGGAGTGCCCAGTCTTGAGCCAAAAGCTTTGCAAAACAGTGCCATTAGGATCTAACTTGAGTCATCATACTGTTCACATGTTCCTTATTGTATGTTGCACTAATTGAGTTTTGACGAGCCAACCCCCCACCCTGTGAGCTCCAGCCTCCTTGATGTGGACACACATTTGATGCTTTTGGCAAGAGCTGCAAATGCAATTCTAGCAGCTTCCTGCTTTCACCAAGGCCAAGCTATTGGTTGCTGATCACTAGCTACTCAGGCAAGACAATCGCATGGACGCAAACTCTGCTGGTTGATTTCAAGTGATGAGGCAGCTTGGGCGTGGTCTCAGGTTTGAAGGGGCATTTGTCCAGCCGTCATATTCTTTGTAGTTTCAGCCAAAGACTGACAACTGTGACGAGTCTTGCTTGCCTCCTCGGCATGAATGGGCAGGAATGGCTGCTTTTGATGTGGCTCTGAGTCGGCGAAACTTGCTTCCGCCACGGCCTTTGCACAACGCGCATTCCTGCTCCTCTTGCACCAGCCAGCTCCCCCATCTTTGGCCCGGCAACTACAGACTGAGGCCCTGGCTACTCAAATGGAAGTTAGGTCCGGACCCTGGCATGCTGAATGAACCAATAGATGCGACAGGAAGTCATGCGAGAAGCAAGTTCCTGGCCATTTGAGCGCTCAACCGTCCAGCAACTTCCTCTTCATTTGGGCCGCCATAAGCCAACAAGTGCCCATCCGCAACTGACTCGTGGCATGACGCCACTGCCTCTGGCACCGTGGATCAAGCTTGGATTGAACATGCAGATGAACCATCACACCGCAGTGAGTTCCCCTTGACAGACAGGACTGACAACCCTGCAGCTTGCAGTAGAACTCATATCTACTGAGTGCCTCCGCAAATGTTTGGTTTTTGCTGTCTAGCAAAGCACGGCAAAGCACGGCGATGTACAGCTGAGTCAGACAGACTATAAACATTTACAGGTCACGCAGATGACATGGCCAGCGCAAGCTCGTGTCAGCAAGTTAGCAATTGCAAGACAAAAAGCCAAGAAGCGGGCAGCTCAAAGTGCGAATGGCGAACGCGGAGCTTCCAGCTTGTTTGACCCTGACAGAAGGGGAGGGCATAGGCCATGGTGTTGGCAAAGAGATGATCATGTTGAGTGCTCTCACTCAAAACAAACGTTGGCAGGCCGAAGCGAAAGCAGCAAAGGTGTTTACGGCAGGCAAGCTGTTCCCCAAGAAAGCCGAAGAAGGAACTTCCGAATTATGAACGTGCCATGAACGACAGCCGCCTTCACGCCGTGAGTAATCGGTTCGCACCCGTCTTGAGATCATGATTACCGTGCAGTTGATTGTTTTTGTTTTAAATATGCGTTTACGCGGCAGTCTCCGCCAGAGAGCGTGGAGCTAAAGACTGGCGCCCAGATCGGCAGACCGGCCCCCCATTTTACTGAGCCGAATTTTCGACTGTTTGGCCTGAGGGGGTGATGCAGGTGATGCAGTGTGACCTTGTCCTCGGAGTCGTGTTCTTCATTTTGCTATGATTTCCTACCCTGCAGCAAAATCAACGGAGCCTAAGCAGATGCATTTACAGCCATGCGCCACAATTGCAAGCAACAAAGGGCTGCATCCTGAAGTTTCGAACTGCACATTTCACTTGATAGCAGCTACGTTCCGCAAATCCTGCATAGGGAAGCATTTGAGCAGCGAAGTGCATATTCGCAGTTTCTGTGTTGCCCGCGAAAGCATCGCGAAAGTGATCATGACAAAATGCATGCCCGCGAAAGTGAAATGTGGCCGCGAAAGCATCGCGAAAGTGGTTTGTTGGTAGAGGGTTTTATGTACCGACGGGCTCATTTTTGGCAATGCTCATTTGGTGCTCGGTTCACGGTAAGCCCCGAGTATTTGAAGGTTATGTGCATAGGATTCAACCCAGAAGGTCCTACCTCAGTTTCTCGCATTAAACGGGTTCCGGAGAAGAAGGTTGTCGGGAGAAGGTAATTGTAGAAAACCGCTCTGTATTGAGGACGCGTCCGAAAACTATCAATGGAAGTAGTTGTGCGTTTGTGCGTGGCAGGCGCCTCGCTTTCGCAAGGCCAGGTACAGATTTCGTTCCAGGCGCAGCCTTTCACGGGGTCGGGCGCAGATTTCTTTTCGCAGGGTCATGTCGTGGCAGGCGCAGCACTTCGCAAAGTTTACGCGCAGATTTCGTGGCAGGCGCAGCACTTTCACAAGGTCATGTCATGTAGATTTGGCGGCAGGCGCAGCACTTTCGCAACAAACAGGTATAGTTTTTATTGACTGGTTGGTTGGTTAGTTGGCTTGATTGATTGGTTCATTGATTGGTTGGTTGGTAGGTTGGTCGGTTGATTGACTGGTTGATTGGTTGTTTGATTGGTTGACTGATGTTGACTGATTGATTGATTGATTGATTGATTGATTGATTGATTGATTGATTGATTGATTGATTGATTGATTGATTGATTGATTGATTGATTGATTGATTGATTGATTGATTGATTGTCTGACTGACTGACTGATTGATTGATTGATTGATTGATTGATTGGCTGATTGGTTGATTGGTTGATGGATGGAGGGGTTGATTGGCTGGTCGGTTGGTCGGTTGGTTGGTTGGTTGGTTGGTGAATGATTGACTGACAGAAAGAGATAGATATGTAGACGAGCTGAACAGTTAAATAGATCGGTTAGACAGATCAGACAGCTAGCTAGATAGATAGATAGCTAGGTTGACAGATCTGCCAGATAGGAGGGATTGATCGGCTAGATAGATGAGTGTGTAGACAGATAGATAGATAGATAGATAGACAGAGTGAATGATAGAGTGTACATTTGATGGTAGATAAATGGAAACGGTGGAAGGCAGAGAGCTAGAAGTTAGATAGATAGGTAGGTAGAAGGACAATAAGCAGACAAATTGATTGATAGGTTAGACAGGTAGACAAACAGACTGGCCGACAGACAGATAGATAGATAGATACTTTGAGGGAAGGCAGGCAGATGATAGGTTGGTTGGTTGGTTGATTGATAGGTAGATACACAGATAGGTAGACAACGAGAATTGTCAAACACATAGGAAGGTAGATCGAGAGAAAGGCGGACAGATAGAGAGAGAGAGAGAGAGGGGCGCAGAAAATGGGACATATCCGGAGCAACAGCGAGAAAGACAGGAGGAAAGATAAAGGAAAGAAAGAAGGAAAGACTGAGGGAAAGAAGGGAAGAAGGACAGAACAAAAGAAGGGCAGACAGAAAGAAAGAACAAAAACAAGGAAGACCGATTGAAAGAAAGAGAGAGAGAAAGAAGAGAAACGAAGAATGAACAAAGATGGAAAGGCGGAAAGAAAGGAAAGAACGCAAGGAACACATGAACGATGACAAACGGCAAGAAGAGAAACAGAAAGAGGAAATCACGGAGAAATATATTGTTTTTCCCAACAGCTGAAAGCTTTGGGGTCTCAGCCCAGATAGGCTCCGGGGTGGTCCGGGGCGGCCCTGAGGTAAGGTTCCACGAGGGTTCCATCAGGGTTCCAGCAGGGTTCCGCGAGGTTTCGCGAGGGCTGCGGGGTGGTGCGAGCACTAAAAAGAGCACCGCACGCTGTTGGGGCTATCAGCTGAGCTTATGTTATATTTTAAATCTTCCGCCCATCACCGGCTTCGCCGGCTCTATTGGGATCAAGTCTAAATTAGGATGAGTTGTCATCCTGTTCCTAAGGGCCAGCTTACACACCCCAAAAGGACATACCACACCTACAAGCCTTGCAGAGGGATGGCTACTGGGGTATGTGCCCTGTATAACTCATGTATAACCACCAATGTTGGGGTATGTCCATATGGGGTGTGCAAGTTGGCCCTTGGATTGTTTGCTGCGCGGGAAAATGGTTCTGCCAAACGTGACCAATCAGGTGTGGTCACGCAGGGGGCGGATCAAAGTTTAGAATTGTTCAGTATTGGGTTCCGACAGCGCGCTTTAGTAGTTGGGGTATTTATCATCGAATGATATCATGGTTTTCATTCCAGCTGTGTAGTCATGCTGCTGCATCCTGAGGAGTGCTGTAAAACAGCAAAACTTTAGCTGATGTTTCGGTCTTCGTGATGTTTCCGTGAACAGAGAGAAACGATTGACCAGATCTGAGTTCTTCCCTTGCGGTGCCAGCTGGCGGCCTTCGTGGAGGCGAATGAGAATGGCTTGAATGAGGAGGCGCAACCCGCATGTGCGACGGAACACAGCCGACACGAGTAGCTCACGTATGAGGATTATTGCGGAGTCTTTGTGATTTCATGCTGATCCTACTCAGTCCTACTCATGCAGGCAAAGCGAGTGCTGCTGTCAATGTCACCAGTTTGCGCCTCAATGGCCAATCACAGCATTGGCAGTTGTGACGTATTGAAGCACTCAACCGGCGGCCATCGACCAATCGAGACAGTTTGCAAGAGGGTGGAAGGTCTGAAGGTGTTTGGTTTCTGTTGGCTACCATGGACACGCAAACACACACGCAGGGCAGCGCATGTTGTCGCTTTGCTAAGGAGGAGCAAGCCATTGTGATAGAGCGCGGCAGCTTGTCAGGTGCATGATCAGCAGGAACTGCAAGCACCCAGCACCACGCATTCAGCGAAAGAAACGAGCCGGGAGTTTCAGTCATTGCGCGTAGATCAAAATTGCGGCTTGCAATTATTTGCCTGGACAGGTTGCAAGAATCCAGTCGCCGTGATCAAGTCGCGAGTTAAACAGCCGCGACTGAAGCAGGCGCCGCGATTTTGTCCTTTGTCATCATTGCCTTTCTAACCTCGTGGAAGAGTCCTTTTCAATTGCTCGCAGCCATTCACTTTTCTTTGAATTCTAATGACACACTCACCTCCAGCCTCTGCAGGCAAGGAGGAGGCCAGTCAAGGATCAGGCCAGGCGCTCAATTTTGTACTAGTAGCAAACATCCAACGGCTTCGCGCTTGTTTGAACGACCTCATGTCGTTTTTGATCGAAGCCACCGAAGCAGCCTGCGGTCCACTGCAATTGCAGCTGAACAGGTGTCAATCTCAGCGGCAAAGAGGACAGCTTCGGCACTGGGCAGGTTGTAGCGAAAAGTTGTGTCGGTGTGTGTCCTGACGTCTTCCATAGATAGCGCGGCGTGCTCTTACAACTGCAGCAATTGTTTTCTGAGTTGAACAAAGCTCCACATGCCCTCCAATCAGTATCCTCTCCAGGTGGGCGCCTGAACCCAGAGCGCCGGATCCGCCGAGGCAGCTGGGATGTTGCTTGGCCGCAGAGTAGATTGTCCCAAGCCTCTTCCTTCACCTCGACAGGTCCAAGTCATGACCTGTGTGCCTTTGTTGCAGATACACAGGTACACTTGCATTTGTTATCATGTGTTTGTTAACAATGCAGAAGGCTGGCCATGTAGCACCAATACAGGCGGGCTCGCTTCCAAAGCTTTCTGATGAGAGAGAGAGAGAAAAGGTGCGTGCATGTCACCAGTCCAGGAAGCAAGGCGCCGGCATGTTGAAATATTGAATTGCTGGCCGCAAAAAGGGCGTCTATTCCAAGGCCTAGCTGTGGGCAACCTTGCGCCGTGTGCCTCGGTCTTTGATTTGCACGCGATCTTCAGCTTCATGGACGGTTTGGTGGCAGTGCGGGTCTTCCGCAACAAGGAAGGTGACCAATGTTTGATCCCAGGGTGGTGCACACGTGATGCTACCTATTTTGCCGAATTCCCATTTTGTCCTGCACTGTTCAAGCCGCATATTGCTTGATGCCACCGCCATGCAGTGACCTGGCTAGCGTTTGTGCTTTCTGGATCAAATACTGCCCGCAACAGACCATGTGTTCGTTGTGGCGGTCATGTCAGTCATTGTTCGTTCCAGTCAGCTTTGACCCAAGTGCCAAGCTTGTGTGCAGGATGTGCCAGAGCTTTTGTCCCATGGGCTTTGCGAGTTCATTTCTGTTGACTGTGCGGAGCAAGCCATGAAGGACAGGCTTGCGCTTCGCATTCATGGATAGTGATGCCAGCATGGCCATACAAGTTGCGGTTCCGCCAAGTACAGCAAATAATATGTTAAGCTGCCGTATGGATTGTGCCGAAGTTGCCGTCGACATGTTCTCTCAGTTCGAAGGTCAAAATTGTTTGCGGGAAAGCCATATTTTGCAAGCTGTCGGAGTACCGATTGCCGCGTGTTCGTACGATGCCAAAAAATGGGTTGGGTAATCCAGGCGAATCAACTTGAGGGTTGAGTTCAACTTATTCAATGCTTTGATTCAAGGCGGAAAGGGCACCATAAGTATGATCAACGTTTACGACCGCTCTTTGTCATTGAGGGATGACGTCCGTGTGACACATGAAGCGTATTGTGTCATTGCAAAAAAGGCGTCCTCTCGGGGCAAAGTCGCAGGACGCGCAGGGCATTGAGCTGCTTGGGCAAAGTTTGGAGCTGAAGCTGCTGGACGAGCACCTTCGCTGAGACCCGGGACAATTGGATCCAAGAGATGTTGGCAGAGCCGGGGGCAGATTGGACGGGACTAGACGGGATCGCTTGAGCGGCTGATTGGCGGTTTAGCCAGTTGCAGGCTCTTGCCTGGAGTTGTTTATTTGTTTGTTGCCTGCGAGCTGCGGGTGGATTTGCGACGAGTTTGGACAAGCTTCATTGACGAAGATAAGAGTAAGTCAGCCTGCTGAACGGAGTAATATATATATATATATATATATGAGAGTCGTCCGAAAGGTCCTTGTATTGAGCTATGAAAGGGAAAACCTTTTGGTCTTGGCTTTGGCTCCGCGAAAGTTCCGCGAAGGGGGTCGCGAAAGTTATTTGTTTATTCGCGAAAGTCTTGTGTAAGGGTGGCTTGCGAACAAGAGTGATGAACCACGTGTATTTACCGGCAGTGCGGGCAGAATGCCCGCAGACCAAAGTTGGCCGGGGAATGCGCAGCCTGAGGGTCGTCGCAAGAATACGCCGCTGCAAAAGCAACCCCCAACCAGCAAAATTTGGAAGCTTTCGGGTTAAGTTGAGTGCAATTTCCAGCCGGATTTCCGCGAATGTTTGGCGTGAGATCCGCGAAAGTTTCGCGAAAGTCGACGGGCCTCCCCGCCAGTTTCCTTCCGGACATGAGGCCAACGTGTCCTCTCGTGTTCAGGTAACGGTTGTGAGCTGGAGCTGCGGAAACGCGCTTCGCGTGCTACTTTGGAACTGAAAGGTTGCGACTTTCGAGCTGGGGCTGCGGAAGCTTACTTTGCGTACTACTTTTGTATTAGACAGCTTTGACTTTCGAGGCTGCGGAAGTTTACTTTGCTACTTTCGTATTGAAAAGTGGCGGCTTTCGAGCTGGGGCTGCGAAAGCGTACTTCGTGTATTACTTTTGTGATGAATGTTCTGAAAACAGCCTGCGAAAGTTCCGCAATGGGGTCCGCGAAAGTTATTTTTTTTCTCGCGAAGATGGCGGTTTCCGGAACAAGGAATTTCAGACAACTGTCATATATATATATATATATATATCGGCAGAAAAAATGAGCCTATCTGAGACATTGCATGGGCTTTCCGCACAAAACATGCATACGGTAGACAGGACTCGCGTTGCGATTTCCTTCCAAGGCAGCGACATGCGCCAAAGACTCTTTATTCATTTGCTTGCCTTAATTCTGGGACGACCGGTTCGCTTCATCGGACATCAGCACGCGTGTAAGCAACCCAAGATGGTGTGTCTCTGCAAAAACAGATGTCTCTCGTAGATGAACATCAATTCAGCTGGTAAATAAAGGATGTACAGTTGATGTTGTAGCCGCTGTTGCTGTTTTTTGCTAGTACAGCCTGTATAATGCGTTCGCTGTTGTTGCCGTTGTTGCTGTTGTTGCTGCCGTGGCCGATTTTGCTATACATGAGCGTTTGCCTGTTGTTTGCTTGACATCGATCGCGTGTAGCTCACGGCTTGTGGGCTGGAGCTGCGGGAACGCGCTTCGAGTGCTACTTTGGAACTGAAAGGTTGCGACTTTCGAGCTGGGGCTGCGGAAGCTTACTTTGTGTACTACTTTCGTATTAGAAAGTTTTGACATGTTTTGACTTGCGAGGCTGCGGAGTTTAGTCCAGGTACTACTTTCGTATTGAAAAGCTGCTTTCGAGCTGGGGCTGCGAAAGTGTACTTCGCGTATTACTTTTGTGATGAATGTTCTGAAAGCAGCCCCGCGAAAGTTCCGCGATGGGGTCCGCGAAAGTTATTTTTTTCTCGCGAAGATGGCGGTTTCCGGAACAAGGAATTTCAGACAACTGTCATATATACATAATATGTAGAAACGATTCAATAGGTCAATAGGTCCTTGCTCAAGAAAGTTAATATTCATGGATTGCGTGCCATTTTTTCGACTTTGATCTCGGAACGGATGTTCACGCCTCAGGAAGGTGCTTGCCAGAGTCAAGCATTCTTTCACTTGCCAATTACCAGGTTGATCTTTTGCGTTTCTGAGGGTGGATTATTCGGGCATCAGCAAGACAGATGTGCACATGGCCCAGGAGAGAGCAGAGGCACTCTTGAGTTTTGGCTTGCATCAATTGAGCCTCAGCGCTTCAAACACCCACAAGGAATTTTGACCCCCCTCCTGAAGCCGCGGCGCTGTTGTGGCCAGGAGACCCACTTAGATGCGGCCAGGCAAGTCTTCATTCCGAAGACGCTGCGCAGGTGAGAAATGCCGAAATGCCCGCGTGCACTCGAGAGACCACCTTCTTGAGGCTTGAGTGAGAAGCTATTCAACAATTGAGGCATCGTCAACGTTGTTGTTGATGCGGTTCACCATTTGCTGAATGTGCGATACAAGTGATCCTTGGAGACAGTCAGCTGGGGCGGGGGCCAAGGCATCAGCGGGTTGATTGTCGCCTCACTGCTTTTAGGTGCCTGGCACTTATGAAGGAGCAGATGCTGCACGTTTGTGACAGTCCCGAAGCAAGTAGTAGATGTCTGGACAGGAAAATGTGAAGTTCGAGAGGGGTGTACTGATTATGCCAAGTGGACCAGATGCAAGGGGCAAGACTTATCCACAAGCTCTAATCAAAGAGCAATACAACTTGTTAGAACATGCATTTGTTGTGTTGAAGCTTTTTGAGCGAGAATCACAGACCTTGCGCTGAGCTCTTTGGACAGCCGCATGACAAGCTGATTGAGTGACCAAGGTCCTGAAGGGCAGGTACTTAGAGAGAAACGCTCATAGGTTGATTTTCGAAGTGGAGTGACCGATGATGTACATAGTCTGTCAAAAGATTCAGTGTGCTTGTTGCAAATGGCTGTCGACCCGTAGACCAGTCAGCACATCATGCTGCAGCGGTCTACACCTAGAAATGGACCATGCCTTTGAGAGTTTTTGGGATCTTGCACTCAAGCCATTTGTTTGCCTTAACATGTGCTGCTGCAGAATCATTTTGCGCTGCCTAAATTTTGGATCATGCTTCTGGACAGCTTGGTGTGCATTTGAGGTGCCATGTTGTCCTGAACAAAAGCAGTGCTGCCATGAAGGGGATACGAATTCTGCAGTTCACTGGTAGTGGAGATTCCAAGACTTAACAATCAGTGTTAGCAGAACAGAACACCTTGGGCTCAGTGTCCAAGTGCACGAACAAGAAGCCCAGAGGACTTCCAAGCCTCAGACTTGCAAACATTGTCCACTCATCTTCTTGTCTAGCGTGCCTTGTCCAACAGGCGAACCACTTCCCGGCAACGGAAGCACGCGCTTAGTACGCCATGGGTTTCCTCCGTGCAGCGACAGAGGAGGTCAGCCATTCGAGTCATGTTCTCCCGTCTCACACGCCACTGAACCGTGACACGGTACTCACAGTACCGTACCATGATGTACCATGATTTGAAATTTGTGGCTTGTGAATCTTTTGGTTTTTGGAGCCCTCGGCCAGCCCCTTGTGCAGGCTGTGTGGTCGAGCGCAGGCGCACAGCGCCGATTGTCAGCGCTCTAGCTCGATATGCCAATGTTCCAGTGGTGCGAGCTTGCATGAGCAGGCCTCCGGTCAAGCACGGCGCGGCCACCCAGAGCCAAGAATATGATGTCAAGGGCAACGTGGTCAAATTGCCATGGTAAGTTCGGACGATTGAAGGCGTGCCTTGCATAGTTAAGGAAGGACCCTTGAAACAACGATAGTATGATAGAGTGTATTGGAGCATCATCCAACTTCTGGAGCTGTCGGCTTCACACTCACGTGCACAACGGCAAACTCTTCAAGAAGCCGTCATGCCGTCATGCCCCGAGTGCAACGAACGTAATGACACCGAAAGTTTCCGCCGAATCAGAGGGAATCAAGCAGGCTTGCTCCAAGCACCTGGGAGGGAAGCGCAAAGAACAGTTAAGAATTCTTCCCTGAGGTTCGCAGATCCACAGCCTTTGACATTAAGGAGGAAGAGCCACCGCCACCAAAGTGCCAGGCGCCGAGATGGCCGATGGAGCTGTGCCTGGTTAAACCATGATGGTTTGCGGCGATTTGCGGATTCTTGGCTCTTGGTTGCGTCACATGTGAGCAGTGCTCACCACACCCCTGGCTTCCCACGGATGACTTCGCAAATCCCCAAGACGACGCGGCCCTTTGTTTCTGTTTTGAGGAGGCTTCAAAATTTCACCCGCATCACCGAATTCAACGAGCGATTTTGTAGAGGTGAATTGCAGGCAGTTGCGATATCCAAAGAAACAACTGTCGACTGATCAGCTCACCCGGAGTGCTCTTGCATCCGAGGCTTCAACCGCCAGGGTGAGGCACGCCTGGGAGCCAGCTGGTTGAGCAGGCAATGCGTGAAAATGTATTGTTGATGTTTCCTGACTCTTGAGGTATGGCCTTTCATTTTTGTTGGCATGCATATCTGCAAACTTTGTGTATGTGTTGGTTTGTTTGCTTGCTGGTTTGCTTGATTGTGTGCGTGTGCGTCAAAACAACTGATGATTCCAGGGCTTTGGACGGCCTACGACAAAGCGATTGGCTTCAGCTGTACTTCCCCAGCGTTCGTACTGCCGGTGAATGTCCGAATAAGTGACGCCAATTGTGTTTCATGGCCTGAAAGCTGGAGTGCTCATTGCCCAGAGACTTCCTCAACAGTGACATCGCAAACTAGTTCTGTTGCTCGATCCGTGTTTTATTGCGCAAGTCTGGCCGCCACAGGCTTCTCTTCTATAGGCCCTTCTGTACTTTCTGAGTGTCCAATGATTTATGTCTTCATGATGCTATTGAGTTGTGTCGCGCAGGATCCCATCACTTTGTGGAGCCTCGCACATCGCGTTCCCTTGCCTTTACCATTGCCTTCACCTTTGCAGAAGTCAGGTGTGCAACATGTCTGTGCTGCCTGGGGACAAAGAGAAGGAGGCTGTGCTTGACAAGTCCAGCACTCAGGGATTCAGCAGGGTTACCAGAGAACTTCTTGCTGGAATTGGATGCATTTTGCTGTGGTCGTTTTTCATGTGCAAGTTGTAGTTGAGTTGGAGACGATGACGATAATGATGCTGATGGTGATGACAATGACAATGTGACAGAGAGCGAGCCATCATGCCTGTTTGCAATGTGGCGCGTGAATGATTTGGAATACATGTCATTTTGGTAGGGCATGGCTGCTTCTTGGCGTATGCATTTTAGAAAGGTGACGTTGTTCAAAGAACCACCCTTCAACAGGCCGTTGTAGTAAGAGATGCGGTCACGGTGCCATGCGTTGCCTCCTTGCGAGTGCATGCAGGTTACCATCAAAACCAGAATTCAGACTGGACCCAAAGCCAAGGCGCATGGAGCAGCTCCAGGCTGACATGCAGCTGAGGCCAAAGGTGTGGGGATCTCGGAAAAAGCACGGATGAGAGTATGAGTTGGTAGCGCCGTCTTCAACGATGTTGATTGTTGTGCTTTGTCCCGGCAGAAGGGTGCGCATGTATGTGTGTGTGTGTGTGTGTGTTTGCGTTGTTGCTGGTGGATGAGTAATGCTTTGTTGGCTTAGAGGTTGCAGACTTATAAATTATTGAATGTAGCTGGGTGTTTGGTCCAGTCGCCCATTGGCAAAGCATGCAAGTCCTACAGGCAAAGGTGATACAGCCAAGTAGGAGGTGACGGGCCCCGTCAAAATGGTACTTCCTTTGATTGCACAGATAGTCAGTGCATAGGTACCTCGGCAGCCAAGATGCCGCTTGCTTAGCTGCCAAAAGTAGCAAAGACATGCTATCATTCCAGAGCGTTCTATCATTGGCATGACTCATCAAACACCTGTGGACTGTCAGCTGTCAGCCGCAGTGAAAGAGGCATGCACAGCCAAGGTGATGAGTCAAGTGGACAAAGCCCCAGCCTCAGCTGACGCGAATTGGGCAAGCGATGGGCATTTGTTTGCATACCTTTGCAGTGAGACAAAACAGCACAGCACATACACATTGGAAGCAATGCATGTCTCACCGAGCTCAGTCCAATTATGCATACTCTGGGACTCTGGGGAACCCCCTCGGCAATCACTGAGGGTCTGGGCACACATCGGGGTAAATCGGGGTAACGAGGGGCATGCAACCAGCCAGGCGGTTTTGTTGATGTGAGGGGTGTAACGAAGGTACGAGAAGAGGTGTGTAACGAGCCAGCGGTCTTGTTAAAGAGGTCTGTAGCGAGGTCTGTAACGAATGTCCGCCGCGGCCTTTGTGTTTCATCTCCTTCTAGCACCTCTATCAGGGAACATAACCCAACCTTCTCCCAAGTTGCTAAGCATAGCAGCTCACACACACACACACGACTTTCCTTTCTTGATGGCTGGTTGGTTTCCTGTGGCTTTTCCGCGCTGTTGGCATGCATTCGAGTGAACTCGCAGAGAGCTTGCATTCAGGAGAAAAGGTGGAACAGACGCCGGAAGGAAGAACGCGTCTTTCTGCACCATGCCTCGTTGCGCGGCTAGTTACATAGTCGCTACACACCTCGTCGCAGACCCAACCCCAGCCCGGGCCAGCGAGCCCTGTTTGCCGCGCTTGGCTTGCGTTGACCAGTCGCAAGTTTCGAGCTTGAGCTGCGGAGGCGTGCTTCGCGTGCTGCGCTTGCGCTGAACAGTTGCGACTTTCGAGTCGGGACGCGGCTCTTTGTCGTTCTGCGCTACATTGCGCTACTGGACTTGCCAAGCAATGTTTTCCCGTTACATACCTCCGTAGCAAAATTCGTGGCGCGTCGCGCAGCACATACCCGTCTCCAGCCGATGTGCCCTGCATTGCGCATCCAACCTACTGCGCCGCCAATCACAGGGCATTAAGTGCGTGCCTCTGTGTGCCTGTTCTCAAAGTCTGTTGCCAAACAGTCAAAGGCCTACGCTCCAAGCCAGCTGAGTGCTCCATGTTGTTCCAGCATGAAAGGGGTGGCACTCCTTCAACGCGTAGTGGAGACCACCGCACCTCCGAGAAAGATGGAGGTGTGCAATGCGCCGAGGCCAACAAGTTGTCTGAAGATGAGCTCAACAACATTGAGACCAAGGCGGAGGCCATCCTGGCAACTGCTGCTTCCCTTCGGCAGTGTTTGTTTCCTCCACCGTGAAAAGACGAGCAACTGCATGCGTTCACCCAATCCTGCGGCACTGTTGCTTTCAATGTTGTCACCCACGCAAAGTCTGGCCCTTTGCCCTGACAGTTGATTTCATGATTTTTTTGATGGCAGATGACCCATGAAAGCACGAGGTTCAATGGAACGAACTACGACCCTCTTGTAGGGCTACTACCTAGTTTTCTGTCTACCGTCATGCATTGTTTGTGCATAAACATTGCTCCATGGTTGTGGGTTCCGATGTGAGAAGCGTTGCAAACGTGTGCGCTTCGTGTCACGACCATTGGCAAATTGGCGTGGGGGCAGACGTATTTGCTTGATTAGCAAAACGGGGTTTGTGCAGAACTTTCGGTGGTCTATGTCAATAAAAGTCTAGTGAGTCCTGAAGAAAGGTCTACTAATCGGGTTTGTTCAAGAGCAAATGGGCATGGCAGGATTGCAGCACCATGGTGAATGGTGAATGGTTGAATCATGGATACAGCTCTAAGTGCTATGAGAAATGCATCCGCTGGCTCAAGCGCAGGCTTACGAACGAGCCCACTTGGACAGGGTTTGTCGGTGGCATTTGGGCATGCATGAAAGTGCATGCACATTAAACTGCTTATCCCAGCATCAACGTCCCAGTTGGTTTATCATGCGGATTTTGCAATGTTTGTCCTTGTTGTCGCCATCTTGAGATGTTCCTTGACAATTTCAGTCTTAGATGCTGCCCAAGAGTGTTCATTGTCGCTGCGGTCGGACGCTTCGGATGAAGTTGTGCTTGCGCCGAACGACAGATTCAGCTCTGGCATTGCTGCAATCATGGTCTTGTCATGTGATCTGGTTCATGCGGATGTGGAGCGCATCAATTTGCACGCAGTGAAGCTCCAACATGCCAGACTACCTTATGTGAAGCCTCATATCTCCTTGATCAGGAGTTTGTGAAATCCTATCTGGGCTACAAAAAGGAGCTTCTGAACTGGAAATCAGCATGCGCCTCAGAGATGGAAAACCTGGCCTGAAGTTGGGTCGTAGCATTGCCGGTTTTGCCAGCAGGCTGCGGCAAAAAGCACAGCAGTGAATGAGCCGAATGCGCGAATCGATCCTAGGCAGTGCGAGGCCTTGAGGACGATTACGCCTTGCCCGGCATCCTAAATCAGTCCAAGAAAGTATCAGCTTTGGAGCGGGTTGCTTTCCCAACAGCAACGTTGGCGCCGAGCAACCACAGCCACTCAAAACGCATGCGGCTTTATGTCCCTCAACCGACGGGTCCGACAGATCCGAAGAGATTTACAGCCTGCTGTTTGAAACTGCTTCATTGGTTCATGGACAGGAATGGTTGATGATTGCTAGGTTCTACTTTGTCCTGTTTCAGCAATCCCCTTCTTGCAAACGTCCTTTGGAGACATGACTTGACAGCAGATGTTGGGTGTGCGAGCTGACGGGGCCGGATTTTGTGGTGCGATATGCTGGTTAACATATTGAATATGTCATTAAAGCGTAAGCGCTCAGCGACGTGTTTGTTTTTTCATTGCAGAGTTGCAGTTTTTATTGCTGGGCTGATGTTGATTTTGATGTGGTCGTCGTCGTTGTCGTCGTTGTCGTCGTCGTCGTTACTGTTCAAATGGCAGTGAATGTTGCGATTGCACTGCTACCGTTTCTGTTTCTGTTGCAGGCACCACCACTGTTATTGCAGTTATACAGTTATACTGTTATGCAGTTGTACAGTTGTACATGTTTACTGTTGTTGCTTGAGTCTGCGCAGCATGCATGTTTTTGCTAGGCATTGTCGACCCTTCCACGATGTCACCATGGACTGCGAAAGGACAAGAAGTTGGATAGAGTGAGAGATAACACGCCAGACCACGTGGGGGTAGCAAGTCCTTTGTCAGAACATACATCATTGGGAAGTTCAATATGGATCTATTCGCATGTCAGCAACCATCCTGATACATTTCACGGACGACTTGTGACTGGTGCCAAGCATTTGCAGTGGGGGCAACTTGAGGCAAGGACCAAAGAGGATGAGCTTTGTGCTGTAGCTGAATGCACAGGAAAGGAGATTCAGCCAGGTTGATCATTTTTTGCAGGAAATGGCGCTCAGCTATGCGAATGTGGGCGGCAAGGGAGCCTTTGCCGGTCGGAGATCCCAGCAATTCCAGCCTAACACCACCCCATCGATCGATTTGCGTTGTTTAGAACGATATCCCGGGACAATCATCACGCTGCTTCTCTACCAAGGACTGCATGGTCGGGGTCGTCGAATTCTGAGAGCCTTTTATCTTTGCAAGTGTGCCGCAAGAAGATGCATATGGCTGCTTGGAATCTATGGCTCAGGTGACACCTTATGTGCGCAACCCCAGGCAGGAATGTGTTTGAATGATGGACCAATATAGTTCGCAGCAACTGCTTCTGTGGGCAGGCCGAAACAACGTGGATGGCTGGAGTGGCTATTCTGATGAACATACACCAAAAATCATGAGCATGGTTATGATATAATTGTTTAAATCAATAAATGAATAGATAGATAGCTATATATATATGTAATCTTTGTTTATTTTATAAAACAGAACGACGAGATTGTGCTTTTGTAGATTGGCCGACAATGATAGATACATGGGAATCGTTTTAAAGGTCCTTGTAAGGAGTTTAGTATTCGGTGGTCATTGGTGTTGGTTGAGGTAATTCCGCGAAAGATTCGCGATGGAGTTGTGAAAATATATTTTTTTTCTCACGAAAATTTTATATAATTGTATTTGGTTAATTAATGATATATGGAACACTTTATCTTTTTATTTTGATTAAAATATTTTGTTGATGTTGTGTTGATTAAGTTTGATGAGGTTATAGTTTGATACTTTGCTTGGTTAGTGTTGTAGTCTTGTATATATGTGTTTGTGGGTGTTAGTCGGCAGCTTTTTGTTTTGAAATATGGGTGATTTTTCGCGAAAGATTCGCGAAAGTTCGTGCGAAAGCATAGGTTTCGATTGTAAGGGGAGGTATAGTTTGAGCGTCGATTTAGTTAATATGGAAATTTACGACTTTAAGTTGGAGTTGTATGGCGAATGAAAAGTTGCGATTTTTTAGTCGGCGTATATTATATATTACCCTTGTGATGAAAAAAATATGATTTTATAGTTGGAATTAGGAAATCGTTATTTCGATTATAACACTGGTACTTAAAAGCTGTGATTCTCCGATTCGAGAAATGAAAAGAACACGGCGATGAATTCGCGAAAGATTCATGAATATAATTTATATATTCGAGAATTGATAGTTTTGGTAGCTTTGTAATTGCAATGATGTTATGGAAAATGATGATATTTAATGGTTTGGATGAAATTCGATGATTATGAAATATTTGATTGAAATTATTTGGATATTGGATAATGGAGGAATTTATTTTTACATATGGTTTAAATTGATTTTAAATTTGGAAATTTCTTTGATTGATATTATATTATAAATTTCACTATTTATTTGGAATGATTTTGGAATATATTAATTATTTTATTATTTAAGTGAGGGGAAATAATAATATTCGAATGAATGAGTGTAGTTTATATTAAAATGAGTATGGTAATGTTAATTTATTAAAATATAAAAAAAATGAATGTATTTTATTAGATGATGATATATTCGAATTTTATTTTTATTTTATTAAATGTTGGTAAGAATAGGATTGGTCTTGAGTGTTTTATTATATACCGTGAGGTCGAATTTATAATATATTATATAAATATTATTAAAAAAAATGTTGAATTTTATCGATTTTAATTTGTAAATGGGAGATTTTAATTGATTTAAATCGTATTAGAATCTAACCTTTAGCATCTTTTATCATTTTAGTATCGTTCGTTATTATTTCTATTTTTCTCATTTCCATGAAATTAAATCTTATCGAAAAACGAATGATCCTAATTTATTCTCGTTATTTTTTTGGAGCCAAAACGATTATATTTTGTTATCGTTATGTCATTGATTTTTAGTATTTCCCATTACCTTGGTGCATATATTATTATCACCTCTATCTTTGTCGCCTCCGCCAAACCAAATCCAAATCTTACCGACGCAAGGATGATCCCCAACTTATTTTCGTTGCTGTCCTAAGCTAAATCTTTCCGGCATACGAACAAACGTGCCTAAATATTATTATGCCTTGAACTAAATCCTGCTAAATCCCACTGGCACACGGTTGACCCCAGCCTGTTCTTGCTACTTTCTTGGAACCAAATTCCATTAGCACACGGACATAGAGGCGCAACGATAACGAAGCATGGTCGTTTATACGCCGCTAGATTTGGCTCTTAAAAGGCGGCAAAAATAAGCTGGGATATATGTATGTAGGCGACAAAGATGGAGGTGACGACAACGTGCCGGTAGGATTTGCTTCTGCGGATGCGATTAGCGCTAAGGTGACGGGAGGTGTTAAATGTGTCGGTAGGATATAAGTGTATCGAAGTATACTCCCGTTTATGTACCGGTGGTTTGGTCCGTAAAAGTATAGTGAAAGCATAGTGAAAGCAAGGAACACAATTTCCGTACGCTAATAGGAGTTGGTTCCGAAAACATATTAAGAATGAATTAGGGTCATCCGTGCGCCGATGGGATTTAGCTTGGCGGAGGCGGCAAGAATAGAGGTAGGGTTTTGACGAGGTGTTAGAGGCCTTGTGCCGGGGGGATTTGATCCACAGAGGCATAACAACAACAAAGCGCGGTCGTCCGTGCGCCGCTAGGATTTGGCTCCAGGAAAGCAGTGAAAATGCACTAACGTATATTAGCGGGATTTCGTTTGACATAGGCGGCAAAGATGGAGGTGACGAGCGCCGGTGGGAATTGTTTTTAGAATAGATTGGGATTATTTGTGTGCCGGTGGGATAAAGCTTCGTGGAAATGACAAAGATGGAGATAACGGCGGCGTATGCCGGTGGGATTTGCTTCTGCGGCCGAGGTAATGGGAAGTATTGGAAGTCGTATGCTAGAATTTGGTGCATAAAGTCCATAAAGCATGGTGTTAATAAAAGCGTTATTATCGTCGGATTTGGTTCTAGGAGAAAATTAGGGGTTATTCGTATGACGATCGCGCCGCTGGGATTTGGTCCACAGAGGCATATTAGTTGGGGCCGTGTGCCGGTGGGATTGGCGTGGTGGAAGCGGCAAGGATGAATAACGGTATATGTCGGCACTTGCAAAATTGGAAGTTAAAGTGGACCAATTTAGTAACGACATGTTTTTTAATATGTATAACGCAGAGTATTAAATTATCGAGGTGGATAAAATAATTATGAAACTCTAGAATTCTTAATTTTATAAAAGAATTGATTATTTTTATAGAAATTGATAAAAATTAGTAACTCACTCAGCCTATAATTATTTGGTTATTAGATAATTTTAAGAATTTCATATCTTTGTTTTAACCCAAAATTTATTTATCGTTAGTAAAATCGGGCAAACTTATTCGCACCGCACGCGCATGCTTTTCGATGTATTTAACACCACTTGGAAAAGCGCATGTGCGGTGCGAATAGATCGCTATCCCCTATGATTTTTGTTTAGCCCAAAAACATTATAAGTTAACAAGAAAGAGTAAACTAAAATATTAAAACAAGCCTAATAAGCCCCGGTCTAAATTTGTTAAGCTTACTTTTTTACTAGTTTGCATTTCCCTTAAAAAAACGATTTAAGATTAATGGAAAAGGATAGAAATAGAATTATAAGAGAAATCATAAGAATTTTTATGCAGCGACAAAAGCAATATGGTCGGTTTGTCTATGTCGTCCACGAACTCCTGCCTACAAAATTGCCTAGGCAAGTAAATCATTAACAATCATTAAAATATATTCGTATTTTATGGTTCTCGAACTTCTGAAATATGTTTCACGAAGATTAAGTATAAACAAATAGAAATTAATAAAACATTTCCAGAACTAGAAAGGGGATGCACGGGCCATAGGATTAGCCCCGTCAATCCTACGCGGACTACCGCTGCCCGATTAATACAGAAATTTGCGCTCGAATGTTTTCAGCGATTTGGCGTTAGTGTAATAACTAGAATTTAAACAACTTTTGAAGTTGTATGGATTTGCGCGCTCGAAATAGAGAGAGAGAGAAGGAGAGACGGAGAGAGAGAAAGACGGAAGAGAGGGAGAGATGGGAAAGAGGAGAGAAGGAGAGAGGGAGAGAGGAGGGAGAGAGGAAAAGAGGGAGAGACGGAGAGAGAGAGAGAGAGGGAGAAGGAGAGAGGGAGAAAGGGGGAGAGGGAAAGACGGAGAGAGAGAGAAAGAGAGAAATGTTAGCAGGCAAGCGAACAAGAATAATAAGAGAAACAATCGAACAAAATATAGAATTGGAAAAAGGGAGATATAACATGCGGCAACGCAAAAATATGTTATTTTTATAAACCGATCCGTAAAAAGAAGCATAAACAAACAAAAAAATTAAAAACAAAGATAGATATAAATAGACATAGACATACGGAAATAATTAGAGAGACACAAAAAGACACAAAGAAATAGAGACGAAAGATAGACATAGAGATAAATCGAGATAATCCGAGAGATAGAGAAACACAGATAGAGAGATAAAGATAGAGAAGCACAAAAAAAAATGGGATATAGAAATGCACAAAGATAGACAGAGAAAGACAAAGATTAGAAAACAAATAGATACGAATACACGGAAATAGATTGGGAGATAGAGAGAGACAATGATACGGAGATACCCGTCACGAAATTTTCAAAAAATCGATTCGGACAAGTTCCCAAATTTCCCCGAAATTTGGCCCGGTATTTTTTCGGAAAATCTGAAGAAATTTGCGGGGGTAACGTCCGGAAACCTAAAAACCACGTCGCCGGAAGCGATCCAAAATTCGGGAAAATTTGGACGGATTATGCCGCGGGAACTCTAAGCCAAATTGTTAGGAACCCCCCCGAAATTTCGGGGTCTTCCGGGCCGCGCGAATAGGTAAGAGTTTGTGGCTGCGAGTCAATTTATAAGGTCCGGAACAGGGTCCGGAACCCATATGCGATCCAGACCTCCGTTCCAGACCTTGCCTAAAAACATGATCCAGACCTTCCGTTCCAGACCTTGTTTATATACTCATGTCTAGTTTAGAGTATTTACGGTAAGGTGATTTGGTAGGTTATTGACTCCCCCCTTTGTTTTGCCAAATGTTACGCGTTAAGGCTGGTGTTCGAGAGAAGCCTGAGGTGCTAACGATGGGGTTTGCTTGTCGAGCTTTGGTGGTTGGGGCTACGTGGCTTGTAATCATTAGAACTTGGATGGAATTAAGCAGTGGTCCTGTTAACAAATGTGTTTTTGGAGCGGCCTATGAATGTTAAGGGTCAGCCCCGCCGCAATCTATTCGACACGATACGGTAACGGTTCGATACCGCTCACGGTCGTCACATTGTTGAAACGACCATGTTTACATGCAGCTTGCTACCAAGTGCAAGCCACTCGCGTAACCGTTCCAGACCCCGTTCCAGACCC